GGGGGGGGGGGGGGGGATGATTATCTTTTAAAAAAAAAAAAGATAATTTAACAATTTAGGTGCATTGTAGGGAATTAAGGATATGTAGATTGATTGCTTTTTGTTGTTTGCAGTTGATAAGCCGAGTGAGCGAAACTATAGATTTGCTACCAGTCAAAATCAGGCTTACGTCTTAGGAAAATAAAGTACAATGTTGCTTGCAAAAACTATATTTAGCAATCACACCTTTCTTTTTGTTTTCCACCTATATAAACTGAACATTGAGGATCACTCCTTCTGCAAATTCAGTGCATTTGAATCTTAATTATGACTTCCAAATGTTACTTTTTGAAGCTTTCAGATGGTGAAACAATATAATTGGCAGCACCATAAGCCTTACGATGACTTGTTGCTTGATCTACATAGAATGTCCTCATATGCTTCGACAGATTGCATGCCTGTTGATGAATTTTTATTGCAGCCATCACAAGTGTATTGTTGTCATCACAAAATGAGAAACATACCAGGCTACATATTCATATATACTCATATTTGTACATATATACTACAGTCGAACCTGCTTCAATGGAAACCTCTGTAAGACAGAAACCTGTCATAACGGAATCTGTCGTAGACAGGTTCGACTGTATAGGTATAGAATGTTGTCACTTCAAGAGCAATAATTATTGCAATTATAATTAATATTCCAATTTCTTCGTCACTCAAAATCTTGTTTATGACAAGTTTTTTGCCTGAACATTTACAGTGATATTAAATTTTTATTTTTTAAAATTATATCACTTTTGATTGAAAAAGTATTCAAGTGCATGCCTGCATCAACACACTTTTACTTTTAGGTATTTTGTGTTCTGCATATCGCATACAATGTACATCGTACAGGTTTTGCTTTTCTCTTGTCTTATCAGTTCCTACAATGCAGTAAAGATATCACAACCTTTCTCACTGTTTTCTGTGTCAGGGAAACTTAAGTTTTCAGTGCTCATACTTCTTTTTTATTTCTTAGATCCATATCTCACAAGCATTAATCTTATCGCTGATGGTTGAAGAGCGCCACTGATAGGTCCTACTTCTTTACTTTCCCTCTGTTGTTTCTGTCTGTCTTACTGTTTCCAAGCACTAAATGACCATTATTGAGTCAATGTGCCGTTCGTTACTCAAACAAACAAACAAATTAATTTGATTGGAGGAAAAAAAGTGTAAAAACGTGAGGAATGGGAAAGAAACTTCCAGAATACCCTTCGTCTTATTTTCCACAAATATACTCAGAGTTTATAAGCATGTCAGTGCACATAGATGTGGACAGCATTCCTTTCAGTTTAGCTTCCCCCAGAATCCCATACTGTGAGGAAATATACAAACTGAGATTTCTGTTGGGAAAACTAATATAAAAGCTCTCCACATTGCAGGTTGTTTTTTTTTTTTCCAGGAGAATGTATTTTTACATATATATATATATA